GCTTCACGTGTGGAGCTTGGCGAGGAGGGCGTGGCGCGACTTCTGCCAATGGGTGCACTCACGGCGTACGAGACGGAGCTGGTAGAGACTGCCGTGCCGCTTATAGCGGGGGATGTTGAGGCGGGGTTGCGCTTTGCAGCTGGAGAGCCTGAGCCGGCCCTGTAGGCGCGGTGGCACACCGCACGCACGGTGCGCCACGCTCTGTCGTTTTTGTTTTACTAACGTGCCCCGTACACCCACCCACCTACATACATGCAGACGTGCGTACGTAAGGACGGGCCTGCCGCGGTCGCATGGCGTTTGCCGCGGTATGGGGAAGAGGGATGTGCGCGGAGGAGAAGGCCGCCCCTTGTTTTTTGTTTTCTTTTCTGTTTTCCTCCTCGCGTGCGCCGTGTTTCACCGCCCCTGTTTTCCCTCCTTTTTTCCTCTCGTCACGCCTTGGGGTGGCGCTGAGTCGCAGTTCCAGGCAAAGCACGCCAAAGCACAACAAACAACACACGATCAAGCACTAAAGGAAAAGAGCAGCGATGATGCACACTTCTGCCGCTTGCCTCAGCAAGGTTGCCGTCCTTGGCGCCGCCGGCGGTATTGGCCAGCCACTTGCCCTCTTGATGAAGAACAGTCCTTTGGTGTCGGCGCTCAGCTGCTACGACATTCGTGGTGCGCCTGGCGTGGCCGCGGACCTTTCCCACATCCCTTCTCCCGCCAAGGTGACGGGCCACGCCAAGGAGGACATCGGCAAGGCCCTTGACGGCGCCGAACTCGTCTTGATCCCCGCTGGTGTGCCGCGCAAGCCGGGCATGACTCGCGACGACCTGTTCAACACAAATGCTTCTATTGTGCGTGACCTCGCCGCGGCATGTGCCAAGTTCTGCCCCAAGGCGGTGATTGGCATCATCTCAAATCCTGTCAACAGCACCGTCCCGATCGCAGCGGAAACTCTCAAGAAGGCTGGCGTGTTTGACCCCGCCCGCCTCCTCGGCGTGACGACGCTGGACTTGGTGCGTGCCCGAACCTTTGTGGCAGAGGCAGGTGGCAAGAGCCCGTACGAAGTTCACGTCCCCGTTGTTGGTGGGCACAGCGGGCCAACAATTGTGCCGCTCCTCTCTCAGTGCGGTGTGAAGCTGTCGGACAGCCAAGTGGAGGCCATCACGCACCGCGTGCAGTACGGCGGCGACGAGGTCGTCCAGGCCAAGGACGGTGCTGGCTCAGCCACGCTGTCAATGGCGTATGCTGGAGCCGAGTGGTCGACCTCCATTCTGAAGGCTCTCCGCGGCGACAGCGGAATTGTGGAGTACAGCTTTGTTGCGACCGACGTCTGGCCAAAGTTGTCCTACTTCAGCTGCGCGGTGGAGCTCGGCAAGGGCGGCGTGGCGAAGGCGCACAAGCCGCAGCTCAACAAATTCGAGGAGGGCCTCATGGAGAAGGCCGTCGCGGAGCTGGAGAAGAACATCGCTCGCGGCAAAAGCTTCGTCGCGAACTGAGCGGGGGGCATTGCCCCCTGTGAGAGGCAATTGTCGCTCTTTGCGCTTTGCCTGCGGTGCGTGGCCCCCGCGCTCCGTTCTCCGGCCAACGAAGTCTCGTGGCCTAAGCAGTGGCGTGGAAGGAAGAGGAGCACTACGTGGGTGGCAGCAGATGCCCCGAGTGCTCGGCCGGGAACAGGGCGCAGGGAGGTCGTCGCAAAGAACAAAACGGGAAAGAAAAGGAGTACCTGGGGGTGCATGTATTGGGTGGGAAGGAACGTAAAGCTGTTGAGTGAACGATAAGGTTCACGGTTGCCAAAAGAGATAATCTAACTGCCTAACTGAGACCAACAAAAGAGTGAGATTAGCAGAACGCAACGCCTCACCAACCGGTGTAACTGAAGCTCGTGGGCCACGCGGGTGTGTTGGGGTAGGGGCGACAAAAAAAAACTGTGATGGGCCATCGCCAAGGCAGCAACAGGGCTGGGGACCGTGAGCCGGCAGTTGGGGGACAAAAAAAGGAAAGTAAAAGTACACAGCACCTGATGCT